AACCTTTACTCAAGTCACAGTAAGTTTTTAAAAATAAGCCATGTAATACAAGATTTGCACTTAAATACACTGATGGCAGTAAAACTTGGTATAGGAATTTGTGGAGTAATTTGGCTATAAGTGATCCACATACCTTATGTTCCAACATCTATCCCAGAGAAACATTTGTACATGTGCACAAATAACCAAGTAACAATCATCATGATTATTTTTTATTGAAGAGTGTTGTAGAGTTGGTTCCGACTCACAGCGACCCTGTATAGGGTTTCCAAGAAGTGGCTGGTGAGTTTGAACCACCAACCTTGAAATTCAAACTGACCTTTTGGTCAAGTGCTTATCCTACAGCACCACATCAGGACTAGCAGCACATATTTACTTAGTGCTTACTATATGTCATACACTATTCCAAATGAATTCATTCATTAAGTTATTAAGAAAAAAGTACAAGTTATGGTATTACATGTACAGTGTGATAGTTATAATCTATGAAAAAACACCAAAAATCATATGTATAGTCTTTGGACAAATATGTATCTATGGAAATGCAACATGTGGTTTGGAAGAATACTTTCAGTGCTGGTGAGGTTATGGAGCTATTAATCTAAATGTTGCTTAACGATACTGTTTTTGTTGTGAAGTGTCATCGAGTTGATTCCAACCCATAGTGATCGTGTATAGGGTTTCCAAGGCGTGGCTGGTGGGTTTGATCCACTTATCTGTGGTCAGTAGTCCAGTACTTATCTTACAGCACCACAACAGGAAATGCTAAGAATTCCAATGTGCTATAATCTTTTGAGGAAAAGCCTACGTTTTAAACTAATTATACTCTTTGTGGGAAGTTATCTTAAGAAATTCAGACAAAAATAATTTTCTAATGCAATGTGATTTATCAAGTGGAAAGAGTTAAACAAAGTAAGCAAGAGCTGACACTCATCAGATTTGCATGGGAGCAACCAGGGATTTTTCTAAATGGTTGATTTTCCCTTTTATGGGTCAATCCAATGTCATGCTAGCTACTAAACATTTTGAGTTATCACCCTTAAGTGATAGAATATGCTGAGATCATTTTAAAGTTTTATTATGAATCTTATTGCACCATTTATGAGCATTTAAAAAAAACAGAGACAAAATTATGTCCATGCCATGATTAAATTAATGTGACAAGTCAGGGCCTGGTCCAAAACAAGGCTCAATAAATATGTGCTGAGAATCAATTATGTGGAAATGCACACATATACGGACAAGGATTTGGTGACAAACAGTAAAACAAAAACAATGTGATTTATATAGAGTTGAGTTTTTTAGAGCATTTATGACCTTTCCCTTGCCAAATTCTTTGTTAGGGGTATTCTTACGCTGTTTTAATTTCCTGAGCTCTTCAGTCCTACGATGTGATTGATTCTGGCCCCTGAGATATACCTTCAAGGGGAGGGCAGACATAAATACAAAGAATTCCAATACAAGTGCCAAGTACAACCCAAACACCATGTACATGGCACCAAACAAGAACAAAGAGAGCCAACTATACCTAGTATCAGGTTGTAATTTAGATTTCTTCAGATTTTTTAAAGAATTCTTTACTACATGTACTACAGGAAAAAGGGCATTCCAATTGAAGGTAATTGCATACGCAAAGGCAGGGAGGTGTAAAGTGTGTGTGGTGTAGAATTGCTGGTGTGTGTATGTGGTGGGGGTGGGGGTATGAAGAGTAGAGGAGAGGCACATTGACTGGAATTGAGGCTGGTGATTGGATCATTTACCCTGGTCATTAGCTCTGGGTGGCCAGTAGGATGAGCTGGAGGTCAAGAAACCTGGGAACAGTTCGAACAGTGAAGATGTTTTCAGCCATCTAGGTAGGAGATGAAGAGGACAAGGCAAGGAAGCAGGAAAAGCAGCGCTGGATTTAAGCAGAATTTAGAGATCGAGTCCTCTGAATGATTGGATAGCAGGATAATGTAGAGAAAGAAACTGAGGGTAATTTAGGTTTCTAATTTAGTTAACTGAGAAGCACAATTCACTAGGCACAGCCAACATATATATTGAGTGGTTACCACATGCTAGCCAAAGGCTACGGAGTCCTGGTGGCATTGTAGAGTAAGCATTGGGCTGATAACTGAAAGGTCAGTGGTTCAAACTAACTTGTGGGGGGAAGATGAGGCTATGTCCTCTCATAAAGATTCCGTCTTGGAATCCCTGAGGAGCAGTCTTACTCTGTAATAAAGAGCCACCATGAGCTGAAGCCGACTCAAAGGCAATGGGTTTTTTGCCTAATGTCTCACCTTTCTATATGATGGAAAAGTTCACAACAACCTACTTTTCAGACAAGGGGGAGTGACTCACCTAAGGTCCCTCAGTTAGGTTGACTCCCAGAAGGACTGCAAGGCTGTAGATGTTGAGACCCAATTTGGCTGTGCTTTTTTGGGGTGCTTTGGGGATACAGAGATGGAGAGATCTAGTAGGGAATTAGAAACAAGGGTTCTGGAACGCAGGTGGAAGATAAATAGGACAGTATCCCGATTTTATTATCATACGATACAGCCCTGTATAATACTACCTATTATATGATATAAGTGTTAACTGAACACTATACTTCTCTGAGGCCAGAGTACATATTCTGGTTTCTGCTACAAGCTGCTCTTACATAGAGAAACCAACAATTTTCTGAAATAGAACTACTTGCTTAGGTGAATGCCCATGTTTTCCTCATGCATTGGAACCAATCTCTCCCTAATCTTCTCTTGTCTTGGGGCTCTTTACTCTGTAATGCTCTCAGACTGCCAAGATTAGAAACTTAACCCAGGTGGCATTAGACAAAAGGTAGTATAAGTCTAAGAAGATTCTGAGGCATTTAAGGAACAAACAAAGAAGAATACACCAAAAAGGATGAGACTGAACAAAAGTAGACTCAAGAGCAGGACCAAGGGAGGATTTTAAGGCAGGCAGGGTGCATAATGTCAAATGTTCCAGAAAAAAAACAGAAAGATTATAAAAGAAAGAATCCAAACTCTCAGAGAAGGAATGAGTCTACAGGGCTAGCAGAAGAACTAGATGGTGCCTGGCTACCACTAACAACTGTTCTGATCAGGGCCACAATACCCTGGCAGAATGGGGGAAAACTGCAGAACAGAACTCCAATTCTTTTTTAAAAAAATGTTTTATTGTGAATTATGTGATAGTTTACATGGGAGAACATTAGTTTTACATTCATCCTATTGTATATCGTTTCATTGCCATGGTTACAATCCCCTCCATGCATCATCAACCAACCAAATGGTATACACTACAAGCCAGTCCCCCGGTCATTGGCACACAGTCCCTCTCCCTCTCTGTGTCTAAAGTCTCCAACTGCTCCATCTCTTCACGTCATTGTCTCTACCTTCATCTCAGGCATCACTGTTTCTCTGGGTACGATTCTAGCTCTCCGCTCTTCTCCCTTCATAGTCCCAGGGACCTCAGCTCCTAGGCTGAAGAGTTAATCACTCCCATCCTTGCTTCAAAATGTCTACCTTTATATTTCCAACCCTCACAAGCAGTCCTGATAACAATTATGCATTATTGAATCACAAGAGACCCGTCTGCATTTCCTTTCATCAGCCCCGCCCAGACAGATTGTATACTACTCAGTGCAGATTCTACCTTCCAGGTCCTCTGGATCTAGGTTCCCTCTTGAAAGCTTGTAAGTCAGTCACTTCTTGCCTTTGTAGCCCCCCACCCCCCATTTTGAGTAGCCAATGTCCAAGTTGCCCATCCCTGTCTACTCTGTGTGTGGAGGGGGTGGGAATGATTCTTGCTGTAAGGATTTGTTCCCTCTTTTGAGCTATTGCATCCATAGGTGTAGGTCAAGTTCATCAAATTGTATCAGATTATTCTTTTTTTCCTCTTCTTTCTTCTTCTAGTTGAGCTCTGATCATCCAGCCATTGAAGACAGGTCAAGTAGGTATTATCTGCAGGGGTGGGTGTTTTTATGCATATGCCCTCTCTTCTTACAAGCTAGATGTTTCATTCTCCACTCTAGTCCTCTGTGGCTATGTCACTGACTCTGGGCCCAAGAGTCCCCAGGTCTTGCCACACTGCTGGCCAACCAGGTCTCCACCTGGGTTGACGGAAGTCTACTGAACATTATAGGGCTTAGCTTGCAGCTTCATTGCTGTTTTTCCCTCATTTCCCCTTATCGGTGACGAGCGTGGTCACCAATCAGAGCGTGTATTCCCCTTGAGTCTCAGTCTGGAAGGGGGTTTGCACTTGTCTTGATTTCTCCTGGGCAAGCAAGTTGCTTGTTCTTGTAGTAACAGTTGGTCTGCCTATGTTGTTTTATAATTTTCCTGTAAGTCTTTCTTTCAAGAAGTACCTTCTGTTCTTCTAGCTGCTCCAGGCTGGTCTCAAATTCTTTAACAGTCCAGACTTATTAGACCAGTTGAGACTTGAAGACTCCCTGTGACTATTGCCCTAAGATAGTCTTTAAATGCTGGACCCAAACTATGTCCTGAGGTCACCCTTTAGACAAATAATAAATTGGCAGACAGAATAAAGGATATTATCCTAAGTATGGTGCACCATTAAAAAACCCAGCGGTACAAGACGAAAAGATCAACAATTACTCTAAAACGAAAGCGAGAAAACTAGAAATGGAACAATGAGAACACAAAGCAAACAGACACATTGTGAAAATTTAGTTAGTATCACTTAACAAGTAGTGTCAAGTTGTCAGGAGCCTTTGAATTTAGGCAAATCAGTAACTTTAGCTTGGAAGGACAAAAAGGAAAGGGAAGCTTGAAAGAACCTTGAGTTCCAGAAAAGGCATCTACTTTCAGGTGGACATGGTGGTGCCCTGGGATTAGGCTGAACCTCCAGTTGCCACATGTATGTGTTATGGCAGACATAGGGTCTGAGAGCAAGGCCACAGGCTCCCTTAGCCCTCACACAATTTTACCTGGAGCAGACTTAGTGCAAATTCAAAAAGGGAGAAGGAACTTGATAAACATGATAAAGTGCAGATTTACCTGTACGAGAGCAAGGTTACTGATGATGACTCTCTGCTGCTCTTGGGGGTCATCAATTTGTCCAGTGTTGGCCTAGGATAGGAAAGGAAAAGTCAACCTGACTGGGCCCAAAACAAGGTAAACCCTTCCCAGAAAAGGCAATCACTTGGAAGAAAAGTCAATAAATCTCAACTTTTTTTTTTTGAGAAAAATGGGCAAGGGATAAGGACACAGGTCTCTGAAAAATGAATGAATGTCATGGACCACCTTCGCATGTGCAAAAACATGCAAATACACATACTACCTCCAATTATAAGGTAATCATGGATTTCTCAAAACTCTTCAATCAGCCTCAGAATAGCAGACGGGTTGTTTCCTTCCCTGGAAACACCCACCAGCCAGTTATATCTCAAATGACCACCAATGCAGCCTGATCTTACTTCTGGGAAGTCACCTTCTAAAAGCCCATAATTCCTTCTCTTATAGTAAAATAGAGTGATCAGAAATAGAAGTTTCTCCTTTAAAAATCATAATCAGCTCCAAACACTTTGGTAGCAAAATTTAAGAATTAGATTTAAAAAGAAAAAATAAATCAGAAAGCAAATGTAAGTCTATTTTTTCAATCGAGTCATTGCTTATGACTCTCCTAAACTCCAAGAAAAGAATTATAAAACTGGTACTATTGTTAACAAACTTGGTATTTAGTTTGCAGTTTTCCAAATGAAGAGAACCCTTCTATCGCTAGCATGACTAGTACTTGGGCAGATGGCTTATCTCACTATAAGCCTCTATTTGCCTACAATAGATACCACACATCTGATGTTCTTGTGGGAGTAACAAGGGTAAGCAATACAGTGGCAAAAGTCAGGGTGCATTCTTTAAGCTGGTAGGCTATTTCTCAAATATCCATTTTCTTTTGCTCCCACAGTGGAATGATGTGTTTAATCAAGACTCAGCTTCGAAGTTTCCTGTTTAACAGAAATTTTCTATTAATCACCTGAACTCCAGATAAAGGAGTTGCTTCTAGCCCATATGATCCTTTAGTACAAATTAGAAAAGTCATTCTTTCCTCAAGAAGGAATCCATCAGTTGTAAACTGTTAAAACAAACAAATCTCTAACCTGTACAGTCCACGCAGCAAGCCTACTTTAATGCGTATAAATGTGCTTACTAGCAACCAATGGTCATATGATTGAGTTCAGCTGAACAAGTAAGTAGGCAAGAAGGGAATGAGATGAAGTCTCGCCATCCTGGTTTCCAAGGAGCATTCAGACTGTACTTCTTCCAGTACTGATCTGTTTGGTGTTCTGGTAGACCATTGCACTTTTAATACTTTCCCCCAGCATCATAACTCAAGTACACATCGCTTCTTCTATGGTCTTCCTTATTCACTGTGCATGTGAGGCTACTGAAAATACCATGGCTTGGGTCAGGCGCACCTTATTCCAAAACTGACATCTTTGCACTTGAACACTTTAATGACGTCTTTCTTGTGCAGCAGATTTGCCTAATGCAATATGTTACTTGATTTCTTGACGGCTATTTCCATGAATGCTGATTATCAATCCAAGCAAAATGACATTTTTGACAACTTGGCTTCTAACTGGAAGGTTGGTGGTTCAAACCCAGCAGCTGTTTCTTGGAGAGAGATCTAGCAGTCTGCTTCCATAAAGATTTACAGCCTTGGAAGACCTACAGGATCAGAATTAAACTTCACAGCAATGGGATTTTGGTGGGTTTTGTTTGTTTATTTTAAATACTGCTGGATAAAATTACAATACAGACATCTTTCTCTTACATTTCTGAAGTCCTGAAGTCTTAAACGAGTCTTGTTGTCAGCTGCCACAGAGTTGATTACACCACACCTCAACACATGGCAACCTATGTGTTACAGAGTTGTTGTTTCTGTTATGTGCCATTGAGTTGGTTCCAACCCACTGTAAGTTTTTATGGGAGCAGAAAGCCTCTCTTTCTCCCACAGAAGGGCTGGTATATTCATTATCACCGACTCTAGTTTACCAGCCCAGTGTATAACCCACTATGCCACCAAGGTTCCTGTGTTACAGAGTAGACCATAGATATTCTTGGTCATAATCATAATGGAGTCTTGGTGTGGTGCTACAGGGTAAGCACTGGACTGCTAACCAAAAGGTCAAATCTTCCAGCCGCTCCTTGGAAACTCTATACAGAGTCACTATGAGTCAGAACCGATTCAACAGGATTAAACAACAACAATAATCATAATGGAGGAGGCCTGGTATGACACTACAGGATCATCACTGAACTTCTAGCTACAAGGTTGGCAGTTCAAACCCACCAGTCACTCTTTAGACACTCTCATCAGGGTTGCTATAAATTGGAATTGAGTCAATGACACGTAACGACAACATTCACAATGGAAGAGAATCCCCAGACCTTTTCTTCTATGGTACCACTGAGTGGGTTAGAACCACCAATCTTCAGGTTAAGCATAGAGTGCAAATCGTTTGCACAACCTAAATCAAAACCAAACCCATTGCCCATTGAATTCGTTCTTAATCTTGGCAACCCTACGGGGAGCAGTAGAACTACTCCAGGGGCTCCCACAGCTGTGATCTTTACGGGGGCAGACTGCCTTGTCTTTCTCCTATAGAGCAGCTGGGGGGTTTAAACCACCAATCTTTCATCAAGCAGCTCAACATGTAACCACTGCATCATCTTGGCATCTTTGTACTACCTAGGTACCTTGAAATGAATCGTATGGAGCTAAAATCAAGGTCTTGTCAGGAATGTGCTCCTTCTGGAAACTCTAAGGGAAATTCTGTTACATTGCCTTCTCCGTATCTAGGCCTATATTTCTTACATTATTTGACTCAGACCCTTCCTCCACACCTTCATAGGTAAGCAAATTAACATCATCTCTCTCTGACTGCTTATCTTTGCTTCTGTTACATGACCTCTTCTGTCTGAACTTCCTTTTGCCTCCCTAAAAATCCGTGTAATTACATTCAGTCCAAATGGATAACCCAAGATACTTTCCATCTCAAGACCTTTAACTTCATATCTGCAAAGACTCTTTTTCCAAATAAAGCAACACTCACAGGTTCCAGGAATTAGAACCTGGTGTCCTTAGGGGCCAATCTTCAGCCAACCAGGCCCCACCCATCTCTGAGCCTCATAGTACACCCTCTGACTTGAGCGACATTGCTCTCTCTCAGTTTCTTGAACACAACATGCCATCTCCACCACAGGTCATGGTAAATGGCCACCCTTAAAAATAAAGGGAAAAACCATTCTGCATAACAAAAGAATTTCAATTCCCTGGAATAACTAGGAGGGGAAAGCAAGAGCCAGCTAAGCTAGGAGCTGTGGTGGTTAAATCACTAAAGCACTCAGAGAGATAGGCCTTGGGTAATAGGCATTCAGGTGACCTCTAGAGGGCAGCAACCCCCAGCAGAGTCTGTTAGGTGACTTGAGGTTGTCCTTGATCTCTGAAATCTTCCATCCAGCCTGACTACACATCAGAACTCTTGTGAAGTGTGAAAGCTAGGAGATTCAGGTCCCGGAGCTGTAGGGTGAACAGGGATAGCCTAGAGCCTCAGGTCACAAAGACATGGGTACCAACTGCCACTGGGTTAAAGAGGAGACAATAAGAACACAAGGCCTGGGAGGAGTGGCCAGGCAGAGCATGAGCTAAGAGAACCCAACACAGTTTGTCTTGGTCCTTTCACCTCTTCCCAATGGTAGTTTCCTGAGAATCCACAGTACCCACCCTACTAGCTGCTAAGGGGAACTTGTTAGGGGAGCATTCACTCCGGGCTGCTGGGGACTGTGAGCCCAGATGGTGACTTACAGCTGTGGACAGTCGTGAGGCCAGCGTCATCTCCAGGTTCCCCTTCAGGCCCACCAGGGGTGGCACCAAGGTCATAAGGTCTTTTACCTCCACAAACACAGGCCAGTGCTGGAGACAAAGAACAAGAATCACACAGTGGCACAGCTCTGGACATCCCTGACCACTCCTGGACCTTGAGTAAGATATTTCTCATTCCCTACAAAAGGAAGAAACAAGACTAACTTCTTAAATTGCTTTCAACTAAAAACCAAATAATGAAGTCATTTAATTTTTTGCGTACTGTCTAATGGATGGACACTTGTGGCCTCAAGAATGCCCCTTTAATTCTCTGGCCCACAGAAGCCAGGATAATTGGAAGCAGGGCTATGAAGAGGCTTAGTAGGGTTTGGATCCAATCTCTAGCTGTATGAAGTATTCATAGAAATATGAATTTGTTGCCAGTTTACAAGTAGGGAAAGTCATCATAAATGGAGAGCCCTGGTAACATCTGGCCAGATCATCTGGGTTGAGTAGCGCGATACTTTTATCAAGGTGCCACAGACCCTTGTCCTTCCTACTCCCCAGGTTCTAAGGCTGAGTGGAAGTCCCACTGACTGTCTGGATTGTGCTCTTGATTTTTCAAAATAGTATGTCTCTATCCCATGTCACTGTCAAAGTAAAATTAGTAACTGGAATGAAAAGGATGTATCGGTAAGCCTGGTGTGGTGCTGTGGGTTAATGTGCTGGACTGCAAGTCGGTTTGAACCACAAGGTCGGCAGTTCAACCTCACCAGTCACTCCTCAGAAACCCTGTATGGGGTCACCGTGAATCAGAACTGACGCAACAGCACTTAACAGCAACAGTGGCACTGCAGGATAAGCACTGGAATACTAGCTGGAAGGTGGAAGTACAAACCCACCAGCCACTCCACAGGACAATGATGGGCTTTCCACTCCTGTTAAGATTTGTAGCCTTGGAAACCATCTACAGCATGGCAATGGGTCAGAATCAACCTATTTAATATGCAGTTAGATTGATGATTTTCTTTGTCATCTAGGAGACAGGGACTTGAGGTCTAGCCATGATTCTCCCACACAAGAACTGTATTGTTGTGTGTTGTCAAGCTGGTTTTGACTCTATGGAGAAAGCAGAGCTGTCTCATGGGGTTTCTGAGGCTGGACTCTTTATGGGAGCATAGTACCAGGTTTTTTATCCCAAGGTACCACTAGTAGTTTAAACTTCAAAGCTTTTGGTAAGTACTTAAGACGTGTGCAAATGACTGTAATCCCTAGGGGGTGCAAGCGAACCATCTGTAAGGCACCTCTAGCTAACAAAGCAGGAATATTGTTTTTTAGATCTAAACCTCCAAAATGAGGAGGACTTCTAGTGTAGGGGTCATAAATATCTACAGGGGCCAGACAGATAAAATAAATCAGTAAGACCAAATGAGGTATTAAAAATTGATCTTTTTTAGACATGATCATGATAATGTGGTAATGTTTTATTTATTTGCTTTAAAAAAGTCCTTTCTTGCTTGTAAGCCCATTTTCAGCCTACAACTAATTGAAATACCTCCAAGAGGCTCTAAAACTTTCCTAATGAAATAGACTTTTTGTGGAGCCTTTGCAGTGTATTGGACCTTAGGTGGAACCCTGAGCCCCATTCAGAACCTTCTGAGGTGGGACATTCCCACTAAAAAGGACAAGCAGACCAGCAGACCAACCTGGAACAGCTAAAGAAACAGAAGCTACTTCTCCAAACAAAGATGAGCAGGAAAAATCTAAAATTAAAAAATGACAGTCTGATTCGCTACTACAAGAATAAGCACGTTGAGAGCGGGCGGCACTTCCCTGACCGGCAGGACAGGTACGTGAGCTTGGGACAAGTAGCGGGCAGGGTCACAATAGGGGCTCCAGCCTGGTAAACAGACAGCTTTGGGGCAAACATAAAACACTAGGCTGCAACTCTATGAACTTGGTTTTTTGAAAGAACAAAAGATGGAGGAGGCACGAGCATTTTTAACTCCCACCCACCCGCTCCCGGCTCTCACCAGGGGGAAGGTCCTGCCCACGGCAGAACCTAACAGAGCCTGAACGGATGTACTCACAAGGAGGACACTCTCAGAGAACCAGTGAGCCCGCAGGAACCAACATAGTCCATCCCAGGGGGGTTCTCATAACTACATTAGGCACAACCGGTGAATATATAGGGAAAATTGGGAGGCCCAAGGCACAGGGGGACAAAGGGGCATTTTAGACGTCATCAAAAACAGACTCCATTTGTCCACAAGCACGAAGCCCATCCCCCACCCCTTCAGCCTAGGTCAACTCTCCTCTCAGTCTCAGACCAGGCCCAGGATAGGTAGCGACTCAATCCCAATAACAAAACACCCCTGCTGTGGCTTAATCTGCCAGACCACAAACTCTGAAAAATTGCAGGAACTGTGAGCTGCAACCGCTGCACCCCACAACATATCAACAAATAGCAAAATCTACATAGATCCAAAACAGAGCAATAACATCTTAGATTAACTGAAGAAGCACAGAGGGCAGGACTTGCTGACGGCTAGGGCGAGGGTCACCAGCAAAAGTGGCTCGGAACTCCAGGCAGAAAGGGGGCAAGACAGAGCTCCCAGATTCAGACCCACAGAGATAGGAGCAGTCTAGAAGATGGGAGACTTGTAGCCAGTGGAAGTTGGAGCGGAGGTGGGAGGGCATGTACCCTTAAACCTGCTGGCCAGGCTAGATGATCTGGGCCCATAGCCTGGGAGAGACAGGGCCGCTGGACTGAAGAGGGGCCGCAGAGATGCCAAGCCGCGGAAATGCTCCGCAGGAACATATAGGGTGCTTTGCCTACTTGGGGCGGGTCCGAACTAGTTTTTTCTCTTTTTCTTTTTCTTTTTTTCTTCTCTTCTTTCTTTGGTGTCGGGAGGGGGTGCGCTCATAGTTTGTCCACATACATCTGGGAGAGAGGAGGTAGGGGCTTGGCTGAGCGGTCGGGACCTGCCCACACCCCTGACGATCTCCTGTGCCAGGAGAACACGCAACTGGGACAGACTGAGATGAAGAATGAGTCTGCCCTTCTTCACTGGTTTTAAAGAGAACCCAGCGTAGTGCTGTGGAGTGAGTGGAGTGTGCTGCACTGCAGATTCCTTTGAGCGACGGGCCCAGTGGGACGGAGCTGGCAGCTCATGCTCACTAATCACTCATAGGAAACCATATACAGGAGACACGGCTGTGTGTCCTATTCGGTCGGATTTGAAAGACGTCCCACTGTAGCATGGTGGACTGGAGTGCCACTGCAGGGCATTCCATTCTGTGGGGTCGGCGGCTCAAGCTCACGGGCGGCTCCTCGGAGGCCCTGTGCGGGAGACTCGGTTACCCGCCATATGTGGTCTGCCTATTCGTTTACACTGGAGTAAGAGGAGTCTGGCACAGCGCTGTGGGCCGAGGTGACACACTACAGACCCTTTTGAGCTGCAGGGCCAGCAGCACGGCCCGCCAACTGCTCCACGGAGACCATATACAGGGTCGCTACAGGTTAGAATTGACTAGTCAGCACCTAACAGCAAGGAGAGGAGGGCAGAAGTGACTGAAAGAGAGGATTTTAAAAATATATACATATTAGGAGTCAGAATTTTCTTCCTTATTAATATATTTTCCCTCATTTTATCTTACTTTACCTTTATTATTAACACCTTTTAAAATTTTATTCTCTCTCTTATTTTTTCTCTTTCTTTTTACATAAAATTTTGTTTCTTTCTCTCATTTTTGTGTTTGCTTCTGATCCTGATTTGGTTTTTGATTTTTACCCAATTTCAGTTGTCTGGCGGTTGCATAGCCTCCTTTTTGTTTTTGGAAGACACTTTGTCTCCCTATATTACACAAGAAGAGGCAGCAACCACAGCCAAAAAGTCAAGCTGAAATCACACCTTTTAAAATACCAAAACCCAGGCAAGAACCAATACCAACAGACATATACCAGGGAAACAGGCAATACCTGTGAAAGTCACTCCGAGTTAAGCAATAAGAAGAGGGAATAGAGAAGACTATACCCTAATCACCTCTCCCTGATAACAATCATTAAGCAAAAAAGAGAACCAAAATACATACTTACTTAAGTGTTAGGCCCACAGATAAACAGCAAAAAGGCCCACAGATAAACAGCAAAAATGCCCAAGAAGCAAAAACAGATAACCATATCAGCACATGTCCAGAAAAAAGATAAAATCCATGAGACAAATGACCCAGAAGTAGACCTGGAATCCATTATGGAAGAAGGGCAGGCCCTGGAAATGCCTGAGAAAGAATTCAGAAAAATGATTATGAAATGTTTTAAAACACTCTACAATAGAGTTGAGAAAAACAAGGGAGAAGACAGGAAAGTGCTACAAGAACAATCCAACATGATAGATCCAAACAATCAATAACAAAATGGCAGAAATAAAAAACACACTGGAAGGACAAAGGAATAGAATCGACGAGAAGGAAGGAAGAATAAGTGAGCTGGAAGATAGGTCTTTTAATACCTCTAAAATAGAAGAACAAATACAAAAAACGATAAAAAATTCTGAAGATGATATAAGATTCATGTTGGACAACATGAAGAGGAATAATTTAAGAATCATTGGCATTCCTGAGCAAGAAGAATCACACAAGTCCACAGAGGAAATAGTCGAAGAACTTCTGGAAGAGAATTTCTCCAACATCCTGAAAAGTGAAAAAGTTAATGTACAAGAAGCACAACGGACTCCAAGAAGGACAGACCATAAAAGAAAATCACCAAGACATATCATAGTCAAGCTTTCCAAACTCAAAGACAAGGAGACACTCCT